TCAAAAGACATAGAATAGAGAATAATTTGGACCATTTTTCTTTGGTCATTTTAAACACTCAGATTTTGAATATTACATGTATTAATAAATACATTTCAATAATCAATTGGAATCAAAAAATGTGGAAGGTAACCGTAGTCTTTGCGAAAGCAATGTTTCATGAAATCAAAGCCTCGACTAATATTTTCGCGTTTCTTGGATAATCCAAACCGATATGGTTTGATTTCATGTTGATTCCCTTTGAAGTAAAATTTGATTGATCGTCCACATCTTTTACAATAATCTTTAATATAATCAGCAGCTCTTTGAGTGACCCCCTTACACTCAATAACATCCAATAGCACTAAATTGGGTAAAATGTGAACCAATTCCTCGATATGTTCATCTTTTATATTCGAATAGTACCTCAAGGCAAGATGTTTGAGATTCGGATACTTCGGAAGCAATCTTTTTAAATTATTCCAGTGAGCATTACCGAAACCATACTCGGCTGCAGCCTGTAAATATAAAATCAACTAGTTTATATGGAAAAATTTTGAACAGATGACCCTTTCCATGCTGACCTAACCTTGTTGATTTTAATCTGAAATGTATCTGAATAAATATGCTATTCCAAAAAGCAATTACATTCAAATGTGAACAATACTTACAAAGTGTATAAATAAATCTTGTAAACATTTGTTTTTCAATGTTTCGTCAAAAAACCAAGAATTAGTATATATGGTAACATGTGCACTTTGAAGATTTGGACATGAATCCATCAACTGGAAACCATAAAAAATTTTTGGACTCCAGCATTCGTGAGACAATTCAAGTATTTTGAGCTTTTCCAATACTGGACCATCGTAGTGTTTGTCTGGAACTGAACGATAGATTTTCATAAATGAAAATTTCTGGGTAAAATATTTCCATAATCACCTTGAGTGCACATCTTTAGTCTTTCAAGGTTTGGCAAATAATGTGCATCTCTTTTGAAAGCCTCTAGACTATATTGCCGAACATCCAATTGCTTTAAACTGGAACCATTTCTAACATTGTTTGGATTGAAATTTATGACAGATAGCATTTCAAGTTGATCACAATATTTTTCTAATGGATGAGGCCAGGGTTCAGGGTCAAAACAGATAAAACCATTTTGGATAAGCTCGTTTTAGCTAAAGCAGTTTAGCTAAAGTCAAAACAGATAAAACAAGTGAGCGACTAGTAGTGCGCATATGAAATATGAACGATAGACTGCGATGATAAGATTTTAATATGAATCGCCCTGTACAATCAGCATTGACACAGCTTCAATGACTTTTTTATCCAACACTTCTGTATTTGCGATGCTCATAGTTATCTAAAACTATGTGATCGAGTACGAAAAGAAAAATTCACTATTCTATTCAGATTGATTGAAAAAAATGAATTATGAATATTTTGAGTTAAAAGAGAAAAAAAAGTTTTATTTAAATCGATTGCAGATAAGCTGATCATCATTTTTTATCCCAAAGACGCTTATCCGAGTTGCATTATCTGTTTTGACCTTATCTGTTTTGAATTATCTATTTTGACCCTTTACCGAGGCCAGGGAATGATTAATCCTTTCAAAGATTCTTGCTTTCTAACAAAGTCCCCAACAAAACATGACGGGAAAATTTCTTCTTCGAAATATAACTGAGAAGACAAATCAGCAATCTTAGGCAATAAGATAGATAAGAAAATTAATAATGCATTGAAAATGCAAAAATAAGCTTGATTAATAATATCAACCTACTATTAAATTGGTAAATAATTTAGGCAGGCACCTTGAATCAATCGACCATGGTTCTTGATAATAAACAACATCAGATGAATAACCGCGCCGATAATAATCACTTGGAATTTCTAAGATTAAGAGATCGATGACAATGAGCATGAAACATTAATAAAACTTGAATCTTACCGATCAAATGTTTAACCTTTTTAGTCCGTTTAGCAATTAAATAGCTCCATTTAACGCACACTGTAATTAAATTTACTAAATTAATAAAGGTTGATTTGCTTAATCGTTATTCAATTACTCTCAGAGCCAACACAACATGACTTTAGATCTGTGCAAATATGCAAATACAGCCAGATGGTTCATGCAATAATCACAAGATGACAAAAAAAAGTTTATTCAGATGAAACTTTTAAAATGAATTATTTCAATACTAAGAGCCTGAAGCTGGTTGACTCATGCAAAACTATCTCTGGTCAATTCAGCAAATCGTCGATCAGGTTGACTCAAAAAATTGCAACTATCACCGATTGGGTGTCTGTTACGAAAATTGACTCTCGTTGAATTGAAAATAACTTAATTTTTGAAAGGAGACATTGAATTGAATTGAACTGAACTTTAAAATTGAAACAATTTTTGATGTTTTCTCAAAAAACCGGCTATGATACAGTTAAATCTGCTCAAAGCGGTTCTTTGATTCAGTCTGAACATAAAAAACTAAGGTATCATAAGGAGTCAAAGAAATACAAATTGTAAATCGAGAACAACCGAACATATCTTTTTCAAACTTGATAATGTCTTATATTAATAATTGAGAGATATTTACGATTCAAACAAGGGTCAATTTTGCGTGGTACACTTCTTACTATGGAAATATTATAATAGACGATTTTTGTGATAAAAAACGATTGGTACTAACCTTTATAGCAGTTTATTAAATCATCCAGGTTGTTTAAATAATCAAAAATGGCGAGCAAACAATCATCGGGAATTTCATTGATCAACATTTTATTGTCTGAGCGAAGACTATTTTTATAATAAAGATTGCCTCAAGATCTTGAAAATAAGCTTATATTAAGCCGAGGTTTTGCTATATAGTTTTTGGGCAACATTGGCCCACTCCCAAATTTTCATAAATTTTATCGCCATTAGATGGCAGCCCATTTTTGGGTACACCGATTGATTAATATTGTTTTTCCCGGTACAAAAATTGAGATTGTTTATTGGAAAACAGTATTTCATTGAGTTTTTTGCTTCTTTGGAGTGCTGAAATCTATGTGAACTTCAGGGGGAAATAATTAAACTTACAGTCTAGTGATTTCCCTTTAGCCTTTCAACCTTTTTCCATTCAGGGGAGTCATTAGAGTGGACTAATTGTTTAAACTGCTAATTTACCTTAGTAAATCAAGTATCGAATCTGACAATTTTAAGTAATACAATGTCATAATTTTTGTGGTAGCATTTAAATGATCCGAAATTTCAACACGAGATGATCCCGAAACTGACAACTGTAAGAAAAACTTATCAAAATTGCTCAAATAACAAATAGAGTTGAAACTCTTCGAATGGGCTTTCGAGGTAAAAAATGACAAATATATTATAAGTGCGGTCAATGTGAAAAATTAATCTTGACCGATACTAGAGGAAGCTAGCGAAAACTGGCCAAAAATCAGTTAATTGTTAAGTGCAGTTTCATAAAAGTGACTGTACTTTTTTCTTTGGTTAATGATTAATTTTTTTGATTTTTTAAGAGAAAAGTATTAACTATTCCAATAGATGGAGTGTCTCCAAAAATATCTAATAAGTGTCATTGTCCAAAGGGAAGTTACTTTTTTGTAGTCGCATTAAATTTGAGAGGGAAAAAATTGGATCCAATTTTTGAAATTTATTTCCATTGTTGAAATAGGAAATGAAAAAATAGCAATTTATTATTTAAATTTAATCGGTAACAAAGAAATGTGACCACACAATGAGTTATTTTAATTGAGTTGCTTCAATGGTCAAAATGATGGCCAAAAAGGTATAACCTTATTATTAAGGAGTCATCACTGAAAGAGATTGATGTTGATTTACATTGAATGTAATTAAGCTATTCTGTACATAATTAATCAGCAATTGACCGCAGACGGTGAAATCCAGCCACCAAATAATTTTTCAACTTCACATGCCATTGTAATTGCCAAATTGTCATTGAAAGGAGGGACAATTATTTGAAATCCAACCGGAAGGCCTTCTTTGGTCAAACCAGTTGGACAGTGAGTTGAAGGGAATGAAATTACATTACTAAACATGGTATAGCTTGGATCAAATCCATTTAAAAGTGTTGTTCTGTGTTTCACAGCAGGAATGGGAAGAGTTGGACAAATTATCAATCCTCTTGGACCTGGACAAACAGACAAATTAAACATTAAATGAGATTGTTAGATATAATGACTTAGAAGCAGAGAAATAATCAAAAATTGATTTAAATTACCCAATAATTTAGTGAAATGATTCTTCATTTCTTTAAAAGTAGAAAATAAAAGTAGAAAAACGAGAAAAAACGAAAATAAATAACTGCATACAATTAATTAGCACGAATGATATTTCGGATCAACTTTGATCTGCACTTACCATCATGTGGTTGACAACAAATTTTTCAATTTTAGTCAAATATTCTAACCCTGATGGGCAATTCAGCGCAGGTAGCCGTTGCATCCGATTGTCTTTCAAACAATGAAAAAGACTAATTAAAATGCCATTGAATTGCGAAGTCGCATCGAAATCTTTGCTGCAATTCTAATAGAGCTTAACTTCATTGTTGATCGGTTCATTATCTGAATGTTGTTCTTTGGGCTGCAGAGACCGTTTTTGGGCTCATAGGAACTTAATGAATCATCTGGAAATGAAACCGAATTCGCCATGTTTTGTTTGGTCTGTTTGTCTGAGGAAGTCAAGAGAGCTCATAGACTTAATACAGCTTTGATTGATTAATTCTTTAAATTGCTAAAATTTACTCTTTTTTTTAACACGAGTTTCTATTACAATTTATCATGAAAACAAAGCACTTTTAAAGATTTTCTTTGATGGACATTCAGGGTTTTGTAAATAATTAACGATAGATTTGACAATGTTGAGAGGTTGAAATGATCATGAAAACTTTTAGTACATGATAGGATTTGTGTTTGATTAACCATTTATCTTGAAAAAAATCAAGTATCAAACCTGAAAACATAAGTAATACAATGACATAATTTTAGTGTAGCATTTTAATGATTTGGAA